ATATATATATGTATATAAACAAATGCAAACATATATCCAAACAGAAAATATTTTTCCGTATTTGACTAATTTATAAGGCCGGGTTCACACCTTGACGGAAAAGTGGAAAGCGGAAGAGCAGTTAACCGATCAGAACTCGCGCGCTGGTAGTAAATAGTACAAAACTAACAGAAAGTCGACTACCTGATTGGCTACTGCTTTTCCGCTTTCCGTTTTTCTGTCAAGATGTAAACCCGCCCTAAGAGTATCAGAGACTTCCAAATTATCATTTTGAAGCTTACAACAGAGATAGCAAACACGATTTGAGTGTACATATAACTTCACGTTCAAGCGACATATAGAATTTAGCATGATATAACACATCAAGAAATGTACATAACGTTTACTTAAATGGCTTATTTAATGTACGTAATGTTTTACTTAATAGCTACGTTTATACCGTGCATTTTTTGCCGCGGCCTAAACAATAGATGTCCTTGTTTATCCTGTAGGTTAAACAAAGTATGCTTTCCTTTTAGAGGACACACTCGACACAAACGTCGTTTTATCCTTTTTAACATTCAACGAATAACAAAGATAGAACGATGTGGAACTAGAGACCCTCTAATCAGAGTCGTGAAATAACGTTTCCAATTTTGATTGGTGCTGACATTTTTCAGCAAAAACCGGAAATAGTCATGGCGTCAAATTTAAGTCGATCTGCATTCGCTGCCCATTTTGCTCTTTTTTCAGGATTACGAGGAAAGATTTTCATAATATAACCCTTTTTTACAGAATTATTGCAATCTGGCGCAGAACAACCAGTCATTTTAGAAAATATAATTTTATGAAATACAGTATTAATATAAAAAATATAATAATGTAATTTCTTTCTGATAACTGTATTTAGATTCACATGTATTAGGTGTTAATGTATCACATAGTCTTTTCATTGCAACTGCGATGATGCTGGTACGTGCAGTAGTATTATATTTTTCTTCACGCGTGTACGTAATGTGCCCTACACAAAAAAGAAAAATTCTATGTGTAACAGTGGGGGCATATTTGTTTATAGGTCGACACGGGCGCGCGTACGCACTCGCTTCGCTCGTGCCGTCGGCGTCGCGCCCGTCCCCACAATAAACAACTTTCCCCCACTGTTACACAATGCACTATAATCGCTACTTCCGGTTTTTGCTGAAAAATGGTATCGCCGACCTAATCTTATTGACGTTATTTCGTGACTCTGATTAGATGGTCTCTATGTGGAACGATATTTGTGTCGAGTATGTCTTTTAAAAGGAAAGCATACAAAGACACCTATCGTATAGGTCGCGGACTAAGCGCACGGTGTAAACCACTGATGATCGTATAGGCTGCGTTCCGTTTCAGGCATATGCGCGCATTTTATAATAGTTGAGCGTTACGTATACTATAGGAGAATGCGCGCATATGCGTGAAACGGAACGCAGCCATAGATTGCGGACTAAGCGCACGGTCTAAATCATTGAACTATACTAATGGAAAGCGTTCTGGGTATCAATCATGTAACTTTTGATCTAGAGCGGAAACGTGAAAAGTGAAAATTTCTATGAATGTATGTATGAACGTATACACAAATACATGCAAAAAATTTTCACTTTTCACGTTTCCGCCCTATAGAAAAAGTTACATAATCGATACCCTGAAGCCATCCGCCTGAATCACGGATATAGAAAAGTAGGGATACAGTGTGAAGAAGACGACATGGCGAGGGGAGTGAAGCCGAAAATCCGGAAGGGGAATTATGCTCATTATCCTCACGAGTAACGTGATCTATCGGTGATTGCCATTACTCTTACACTGCGAAAAAAGGTTTTGTGATCATAATAAAAGTTTGATTGAAATACACCCAAAAAAGTCTTTAATTATTACAACAAATTATTAATTATTACAAAGAAATATTTTGTACGAACAACTAATTTCTTTCTTATTAATTAATAAAGAATAATTTAATTGCTCTTACTAATTATTATTTTTTTACTGAAATATTTCTTTGTAAAAATTACAATAATTTCTTGATTGTATTTCAAATATACTTTTATTACAAAACTTTTTTCTTGGTGTAGTAAATTTTGTCCTAAAATAAACTTATGATTATTAACTTATGACATTTAATTTATATTAAACCGACAAATTATTATATGTATACAGGGTGTCCCAATAACTCTGTTACTAGGCAATATCTCTGTTACCGTTAATGATACGCGAAAATATCAAAGGAAGAAATTGTTTGGTTCAGAGGGGAACATGTATTGGTCACCTTGTTTCTTTTCTAGGTGTAGGCGCTAAAAAGATATGAAGGTCACCTCCACTTTTTTAAATGGAATTATGT